ATACTACCTTTTCTTTATCCAGTCATCTGTCGATGGACATTTAGGCTGTTTCCATGTCTTGGCTATTATAAATAGTGCTGCTATGAACATTGGGGTGCAGGTGTCTTTTTGAAGTAGGTTAACCCTAATTCTTATATATATTTTATTTCTTATTTTTTCTGTAACAAATATGAATTCCTTTTCTAGTCTCTCTCTTTCTCTTGGATAGGATGAAAAATCAGAACTAAATAATACCTACTTTTCATATGTTTGTCCTGAAGTAAGAAGCACAAATATTCAATTCAAATTACCTGCTGGTAATGGGGAAAATTTTTCAGAGCCTTGAAAAGCAGACAGGTAACCTCTGACAGCAGACGAACAGGCATCCCCTTGGCCAGGCCCTGGCGTGTTAAGTTGAGGGCGCAAGCGCTGGCTGTGAACTGTACTGGAAAATCCAATGGATGATTCCTCATTCCTATAGCCACAAGCTGAAGACAAACTTGTTTTTAGTGGCATATGACAACATTAGCATTCTTTATACACTCCTGTTTTTGTCTTAGTTGCCAAAAATATTTGCTCCTCAGGACAAAAAGTTAATAGATATTCCCCACCCTCAGCACTTATTTTTTAGGACATCAGCAATAACTTCCAAACCAAATGCAGACGTTAACTAGCTGTGTGACTTTAGGCAAGTCACTTCCTTTCTCTGGACCTCTGTTTCCTCATCTGTGATTTCAAAATCATTTATTGAGCCTCCCTCTATCTAAGGCATTCTGATAAGCACTACAGGGGACACAACATGGATCACTTACACCCTATCCCTTAGCATAAAGCCCTGGCTATGGAAAAAATAACATTGTTAGGGACGTGAAAAAAAGCACCATAAAAAAAAAAAAGCACCATAAAAGAGGTATAAAAAAAGTACTATGCCAAATAGATATGCAGGGAGCAATCATTTCTGATACAGAAGCCAAAGACTTCACACAAAGCACATTTAGGCAAGTTCTCAGGATTTGGACATGAGATAGAGGTAGGAGTAAAATGGAGAAGGAATTCCTAGGGAAGGGAAATGTGACAAGGAGAAACACAGGGTGGACAAACAGATGGGATGAATCCACCAAGAAAGGAGGAAGAAATTTGAATCTGGAAGAATTTGAAAAGCGGTAAAACCTAACATTAGAAAGGTAAGTAGAAGACAGACTGTAAAACCTAGAAACAAATGTAAAATGAAGATGTTGTACTAGACTTAGACCACACCTGATCTAATATTAAATGATCTGTTTCATTTAATTGTCCCATCTCACCTCAGAGACCAGTCTGCTGATATACGCATGAACCATGGTTTTAAGACACCAGAGCCCCTCACTTTGAAATCAGACCTAGAATATACTTCTAATATGGAAAATGCCTTTTTTCTATATTGCTCAACTGCTCTTAGGATTTCAATAGACCTCCATCATCGGCAATGTAAACATGTAGAAAGCAAAAGAAACATGATGGTGTTTAAGTTAAAAAAATCATACAATCATAGATATGAAAAGGAATTTTAGAACATGCAATTCAATCTCCTCATTACAGATGGGAAACAAAGATCCAGAGCTGTTTCCTTTATAAAATACTGCTTTTAAGTATGACTATATCTAATCTCCCATGAGTGCAGAAATAGCCCTCTTTTTATGGAACTGCAAAGAATTACAAATAATAAGGACAAGGTGACTTTAAGACTCTTCATTTTTATGTTAGTTACATTTAATTTTAAAAAACTGCAGTTTTCTTTCCCAAACCACTTAATATTGCCAATTACATTTAAATATAAATTCATCCTTCTATAAACCAAAGAAAAATATGGCCCTATTGATACTGGTAATTTTACTTTATTTACAAAATATTTTTAAATGATAGATTTAGCTATCTTCAATTATTGTTATTTTGTTACATTCTTATTGGAGATACTGTTGTGTTTTCTTTCAGAAAATTATATTTAAGATTTTTAAAGAGTAAACAAATGGATAAATAAAAAACAATGTTTAGGGCAAAGTGAATTCATGTTTATACATTAAGTACTGTTTTAGGCAAAATAATGCAATGGTTCTGTAATTGTCTTCTAAGACCAAATCCAAAAATTTTGATGATTCAAATGGATTCTGATGCTCAAAACAAGAGATAATCTGTCGGTTTAAATCTAACATTGTTTCCTTTCTCTATGAGGGCACTCTGACTCACAATAGAATAAGGCATGTAAGTTACTGTATTCAGTGTGTTTGGTGAACAACTTTAATTGAACCAAGTAAAAGTGATAATAAAAACTACATTTTTGAGGTGTAGTTACCTTTAATATAGCAGGCATGGTTACCTGCATTGAAAATGTCTCTGTGAAGAGCCTGTAGAGAGCTTCCTTCATAAAACATGACCTATTCCTATACCGGTTCAGTGCTTCTGAAATCTGAGTCATATTGGCTCCTCCAGCAACCTGGAAAACAAAGATGTTACCAATAGGATTTATCATTCCTCTTCAAGCATAGGCTTTTAGGGACCTCAAGTATTTGAAACAATAAATATTTGATTAAATGTTTCAGGAACCTTACAAAGTTGATCTCATTCAATCAATTCTGATAAGTAAATGTTCTACTCAACCTCATCTTTACAGATGGGTCCAGAGAGGTGATAGACGCTGCTAAATGTAACAAACCAATTAAAGCAGTAGGGCAAGATTCATACCATCTCTCTACAACTATATTACAGTTGAGACCTCAACTGAACAATGAATAGCATATAAATGTTTCAACAACCAATAACCATGAGTACATGTCTTCTACATACTCATACAGGATGAATTAGACAATAAAGACAGGAAAAACCCACATAAAATAACTAAAATAAAAAAGGAGTTGACCTTTTATAGTATTAATTTATTTAGTAATTATTTATTTAATATAATTCTCCCTTGCTACCACTGAAGTAATAAGTTCAAAAAGTCTATGTATAGACTTTGAGTCAGAAGGATAATGGTACCCTCCTGAGCCAAACCATAAAATCAACAAGGAATTGTAGATATGACCCAGTTTTTACCATTCCTGGGTGGTGAAGAAAAAGAATAAAATAAAGAAGTAAAATTCAGGATCTTACAAAATGAAAAGAAAAACAACTCTTCTCCTCTCTACCATGACCAGAAGTAACATTATCACCCATTGAAGAAACATCACATCACTAAATTGACAGAAAAGTGCTTTTGAATTAGGAACCCTGTCAATTAAATGCCAAGAAATAAGAAGATTCAAACCAATTCCACATACAGCTACTGTTAAAGAATTTTTTAAAAAAAGCAAACCCACACTTTAAAGCTGAGAAAAATCCATCCAATAAACAACAACAAATCAGAAGAAAAATGTAACACTTTAAGCTGAATTAAATATTCTTAATAAACATTTTGGGATATGAAAAAATACCTCCAACAAAAAGATGAAACAAGGGTTCATTAAACTTAGAAAAGAAAAAGACAAAATCATATCAAAACATAAAAACCAAGTTACAAAGCATCAAAGGAAGAATAGAGTTGAATAAAATTTTAGTAAGGGGAAGAAATGCAAGAAACAAGAGGGGGAAATTTTTTAAAAGAAAGAAGTAAAAAAAAAAATCTAAGATTGAGTGCTGATATAGAAAAAAGACAAAGAAGATCCAACACACATATACGTGAAGTTCCTGGGTGGGAAAATGAATATTTAAAACTACTATCAAGGAAAACTTTCCAGAAGTCAAAAAAGACCTAAATCAACACACTGAAAGAACCTACCAAGTACCTGGGAAAACTGACCCAGATCAAGTCTGACACATATCACAGTATAAGTATTAAATTTAAAGGTACATAAAAAAATCTTCAGGGACTCCACACAAAAAGATCAAACAAATTAGAGCATTAGATGGTCATCTGACTTAACACGCAAAATACAAAGAAATGTAACAGTGCAGAAGCATTTTCAAGAAATAAGGAAAGAAAAGGGTAAACAAAGGATTTAATAACCACACTTACAACTTCCAGAGGAAAGTTTGGGCAGTAAACTATGGTTCATTTCCATCAATTTCAGCTCTTACCACAGTAACAGCTGTTCATGCCCTCCTACCTGCAACCACAAGTACATGTTCCTAGATCTGCCCACACTTAGCTTGTGTGAGTCCTGGACTCTGTCCTTCAAATATCATGGATCTGCGCTCTGATCCCCAATTGCTGCTTCTGATAACAGGTACAAAGAGGGGACAGCCACTGTGTTGCACCCCCTTGTCAACTGTTCAAAGCACCTGTCCCATAAGCTAAAAGTAACTTCCAGGGGATTTAAAGGGCTAGTGCCCCTCCCCTTCGTTTCTCTTTTCTTCCTTTTAGGAGACAGAGGTTGATGACTAAGACATTCAAAACAAATGTATATACAAAGAAAATTCCTAAGTGACTGCATATGCCCGGGAAAAGGCTCAAAAAAGATCTAAAAAGCCTTACAGTTTATACTTTGGGCTGATTCTTGACACAGATCCAAAAACCAAAAACTTCAAACCCTAGGGAAGAGAGAGAATCTGATTTCCAGAGTTACCATATTATTAGTTTTATATGTCCAGTTTTCAACAAGAAAATCACAAAGCATACAAAGAAATAGAAAGTATGGTCCATTCAAAAGGAAAAAAAAGAAAAATCAAAAGAAACTGTCCCTGTAAAAGACCTGATAGCAGGTCTACTAGACGGACTTCAAAACAACCAACCTAAAGATGTTCTAAGAACTAAAGGAAAATGTAGGTTAAAGTCAAGAAAATGATGTATTAACAAGAGAAAACTCAATGGAGATTAAAAAAACTAAAAAAGAATCAAAAGGAAATTCTGAAGCTGAAAAGTACAATAACTGAAATTAAAAAAAAATCACTAAGGGGATTCAAGACAGGTTGGGGCAGGAAGATGAAAGAATCAATACACTTGAAGATAGGATGCTGGAAACTGTGTCAGAGGAACAGAAAGCAAAAAGACTGAAGAAAGTTAACAGACCCTAAGGAACCTGTGGGATACCATTAAACAAACAAACATACACACTTAAGAAGTCCCAGAAGACAATTAGAGTGGCAGAGGATATTGGGAGAGGTGGGGAATAGATGCAAAGTCTCCAAACTTGGTCAAAGACATGAATACAAACTTCCAAGGAACTCACGGAACTCCAAGCAAGATGAACTCAAGAAGACTCACAGCAAGACACATTATCATCAAACTCTCAAAGGTCAAAGAAAGAACTTCGAAAGAAGCAACAGAGAAGCAAATCATCACATACAAAGAATCCTCAATAAGATTATCTGCAGATTTCTCAACAGCTTTGGAAGTCAGAAGACAGTGGGGGTGGGTAATAGCTCAGTGGTAGAGCATATGCTTAGCATGCATGAGGTCCTGGGTTCAATCCCAGTATCTCCATTAAAAAAAAGTTCCAAAAGACAGTGGGCTGATATATTCAAAGTGTTACAAGAAAAACATTGTCAACCAAGAATCCTGTATCTGGCAAAACTGTTCTTCAAAAGTGAGGAGAGAGACATTTCTATACGAACGAAATCTGAGAAAGTTCATTACCACTGAACTTGGCTTGTGAAAATGCTCAAGGGTGTCCTGCAGGGTGAAATGAAGGAACACGAGGCAGTAACAAGAAGCCATGTGAAGAAATAAAGATCTCAACAGACGTAAATACAAGGGCAATTACAAAAGCTAGTGACATTTTTTAGCCTGTAACTCTATTTTTTTGTTTTCTACATGATTTAAGAAAGAAATACTTTTTAAAAAGTATTAATCTAAAAGCTAGTGCTGGGGGGAGGATATAGCTCAAGCGCTACAGCACATGCTTAGAATGCACAAGGTCCTGAGTTCAATCCCAGGTATTTCCTCTAAAAATAAATAAATAAATAAACCTACCCCCCCAATAACAAAAATAAAATAGATTTTTTAAATTAAATCAAAAATTTAAAAAGTTAGTGCTGTTACTTTGGGTTATAACTTCAAATTTTATTTTCTACACAACTTAAGAGAAAAACACATTAAAAATAATTTTTATTTTATGCTTTGGGGCAGACAATGTATAAAGATGTAATTTGGGGGCATCATCAATTAAAAGATGTTGGGACAGAGATGTAAAGGAATAGTTTTTATGTTATTGAAATTAAGCTAGTATAAATTTACATAAGAGTGTTATAACTTTATGATGTTAAATGTAATCCTCATGGTAACCACAAAGAAAATAGCTATAGAATATACACAAAAGGAAATGAGAAAGGAATTTAAACTATCAAAAAAAAAAATCAGCTGAACAAAGAAAACAGTAATGCAGGAAACAAGAGGCAAAAAAAAAGCTATAAAGTTGATTATGAATCAATAAAAATGTAAAAAAAAAATTAAAATTAAAAAAAAAAGCAAAAGAAAAAAAAAAAGCTATAAAGCATATAGAAACCAAAGAACAAAATGAGAAGAGTTCCTCCTAATCAGTAATTACTTTAAATGTGTATGGATTAAACAAGCTAAACCAAAAGCTGGCAGGAGGATGGAAATAATACTTGTTACAGCAGAGATCAATGAAATAGAGAATAGAAAAATAATTTTAAAAATTATTGAAACCAAGAGTTGGTTCTTTGAACAGACCAACAAAATTGACAAATGGATAGACTAGGAAGAAAAGAGACTAAGAAAAAAAGGGCTCAAAATACAAAAATCTGAAAGGAAAGTCAGGACATTACTACCATTCAACAGAAAAAAACAAAAACAGAATTACAAGAGATTACTATGGACAACTATACCCCAACAAACTGGAAAACCTAGATGAAATGGGCAAACTTCTGTATACACAAGATCTAATAAGACTAAATCATGAAGAAATAGAAGATTTAAATAGACCTGTAACTAGCAAGAAATTTGGATCAATAATCAAAAATCTCCCAACAAAGACCTGGTTGGTTCACTAGTAAATTCTACCAAATATTTAAGGAAGAATTAATACCAGTCCTTCTCAAAATTTAACAAAAACTGGAGAAGGAACACACTCTTGACTCATTCTATGAGGCCCACATTACCCGGATACCAAACCCAGACAAAGACACTACAAGAAAAGGAAACTAGAGATTAAGACTCCTTATAAACAGAGATTTAAAAATCCTCAACAAAATAAGGGCAAACTAAATTCAGCAGAATATTAAAAGAATTGTATACCACAGCCAAGTGGGATGTATTCCTGGAATGCAAGAATGGTTTAACATATGAAAATTAATGTACTATACCACATTATCAGAATGAAGGAGGGGGGGAACACATGATCATCTCATTGAATGCAGAAAAAGCATTTGAAGAAATTCAACACCCTTTCTTGGCAAAACACTCAACAAACTGGGAACAAAAGGAAACTACCTCAATTTAATAAAAGCCATGTATGAAAAATCCACAGTGAATATCATACTCAATGGTGAGAGACTGATCACTTTTAAGATGAAGAACAAGAC